ACTGAATGCAGTGTGCCACAAAGCTTCCTTCCACTTCTGCATTTCACTCAACAGCGCACGCTGGCCTAGATTCTCTTCTGTTTTAAATAACCAAGTATGTTTGAATAACCTGTATGGTTACAATTAGGGTCAGCGCATCTGGGGAAGTCACCGCAAACCCCCACACATAAATATGGTGATTTTAATAACAAATAACACATTTGGAGCCTGGTATAGAAGTATGCAGGCGGAGGGAGCCACTGAAGATGTTAATTTGCATGTTCACAAAGGAACAGAATCCAGCTGCAACATTAATGCCTAATTCTACAGAGCCATAGGACACATGAACAACCTCACCATGGGCTTGCTCTAAATTTAAAGCCGATTTTCAAACCCTCACAATTTTGGCTTAAACTTAAATTTAGCTGCTTGAAAAGGAGACTGGATTTTATTTTAGTTTTTTCCTGTGAATCCTGAAACAATGGAATTGAAAAGGTCCATTTGTTTAAGTTTTGCAAATTAAATACAAAATATCTGAATAGGTTTGATCCGAAGTTTCTCAAAATATTCACACTGGCACAGGAAAAGAAAAAAAAAAGGTCTAATCATTGGAAGAGATTTCTTCTAATAAGGCTCTGGAATTTAAAGACTAAACTGGAGCTTTGCTGTTGCTTTCCAGTCTCCTATACCTGTTTTCACTCTTAAGTAAAATGCTCCAAGTATATAAGCTTTTAAAAAGAAATAAAAAGACAAATCTTCTGAAATAGGATGTATAGGAATGAATGTGTGTGTAGGAGGGAGAGGCTATTAATAACAATGGTAATATTACTACACATTGGTAACAAACTACTTATACCAGAATATATGTAATATGTAATATACTATAATAACAACAGGTATTGTGTGAATTTGGCCGTCTTTGGGGAGACAAGGTCCCGGGAAGCTTTGTTCACTTTCATCATTTTCTCCAGGAATATGATGTCTCTGTACTTGCTCAAGCATCTGCATAAAGACAGAAGGGGCCCCTGTAGGGTCAAACAGAACTCCGTGATAGCATAATCAATTAACTGTCTCAGTTATGAAGAAAATAGCTACAAAATCCTCCCATTCAAATGGTTTACACCTCATTGAAAGTTGTTGGCATTCGCACTTTACAGAGAACAGGTGAGTAGCCAGGACCTGTGGTGACAAGGTCTGGTCCTACAAGTGTCCGGGAGGGAAGGAAAGTTATTAGTCATCCTCATCTACCAAGCCAATGCACAGGAAACCCTTCTTGGGATGCACGTGTCAGATAATGACTTGCTGGCATAATTTCACGAGATTAAAAATGTCGTGAGAGTTAAATGCTTGGGAGTCGTTAGAATTGTAGTTCTGCTGAATCTTTGGCCCATCTGGTATTAATAAACGCCGGTGGCAATATCCGTGAATACACTTGTCACGGGGGCTACTTCCACATCCCCTCCCCCACCAGGCAGCGGACAGATGTGGAAATCAGGAGACCTGGGTTGACAGCCTGGTCCTGCCAGGGGCAATTCTGTCACCCCGATAAGCCTCAGCTCATCGCCTATTAAACAGGAGTGATTACACCAGCTTCACTTAATTCTTAGAACTATGTTGAGGCTCAAATGAGATAATGGATGTTAGTCCCTAGGTCTGTCAATCAGCCAATAACCCAAGCATATATGATATAATTTGGGACATCCGTGGGTGCGAGGCTGGGTGTGTTAAGGGGTGAGCTTCCTTCTTCACTGTCATAAAAAGGCATGTGACAATCGTAGTACGTTCCCCTCTCTGGCCCCCAAACAGGTTTGCCTTTACATTTTAACACATTCAGAATTCATTAAGCAATTAAATCCATTTTGATCTAATTGGGTTTCCTTTGAGAGCAGCTTAAGGTTCCTTTAAGCCTGTGAAGCTTGTGCGTAATTGGAAGGTATGACTCCACCCCACTCAACTTGTGTTGAGATGTCCGTCATCAATTCCTTTCCGATGTATGATTTAAGCTCTCGAGATGGCTCTGTTACATCTGGAGACCAGAACCACGCCAGCCTCCACCACGAGCGGCAGCAATAAATAACACCATTGCATGGAGTCAGCACTGGATGTAGACGGTTCTGCCCTAAGCCACTAGTCAGAAGGAACACCTGGCTGCCATTTAGATGCAGATAGTCTTGTGGGAAGGACAGCTGGCCAGTCACTTGATGCCCACGTGGGGCAAGGCCATCCTCTAACAGTTTCTTTTTCTTTAATTTTTTTAATGTTTATTATTTATTTGGGGGGGGGCGGGGAGAGGGGCAAAGAGAGATGGAGACACAAAAGCAGGCATCAGACGGAGACAAGGAAGTAGGCACCAGGCTCTGAGCTGTCAGCACAGAGCTCGACACGGGGCTCGAACCCACGGACTGTGAGATCATGACCTGAGCCGAAGTTGGATGCTTAACCAAACGAGCCACCCAGGCGCCCCCCTAACAGTTTCTATACGACAAACAGAGGTCTTGGGCCTGATCTCGGAGCTCGAGGTTACATCATATGGTTGCTAGTTGCCAGTCCAGGGCTCTGTGTCTGCACTGTGGCCGGCGCAAGTCTCTTCACCCACTTGCCCTACCTAAGATGGCAGAAGGAATGGTAACAGGCCTGGTGAAGGAGGCCTGCCTTCACTTTGCACTCTGAGGAGGAACCTGTAGGTCTCATGCTCCGAAACCAGTCCTGGGCCCTAGTGAGCCTCAGCCCTGTTCGCCACAGGAACCTGCAGTGCAGAGTTCCAAGGACTCTCCTGAGGCTCCTCAGTGGCCTGGCATGCCTGGAATTTTGGAGAGGGGCCTGCTTTGCCCAGTATCTGCTTTGATTCCCTGCTCTGGAATCTGTCCTGCTACCCAGCAGAGTGCCTAGGCCATCTTGGGAACTCCACTGCCATAGCTCTTTTGAGGATAGCAATGACCCCCCCTTGGTCAAACTCTCACCTTACTTGGTTCTTAGCAGCACCTGACTCAGGTGATCCCTCCCTCTTCTTTCACATACTCACTCTCTTCCTTGGCTCCAGGTCCCCAGATCCCCAGGTCCCTGATCCTCCTATCTCTCTGGCTGCTCCTTCTCAATCTCCGTCACCAGTTCCTGCTCTCCTCTCCAGTGTGTGAAAGCTGTGGTGCCCAGGACTCAGCCCCCAACCCCCAGGGATCTCCTCCAGTCTCACGCTTTTGGTGCCATCGATTTGCTGATGACCCTAAAGTCTCTTTCACCAAGGCAGACCTCCTCCCTGAAATCTAGACTCACTCACCCACTGCCCATCACCTTCCCCACTGGGTGACCCAAATGCTCAAAAGCAACATGTCCTAAACAGAGCTCCTGGTTATCCCCCTGCTCCCAGATGTGCTGGTCCCTGGCTTCCCCGTTTTGGTTAACGGCATTTCCGTCCTTCCTGTTTGTTGCTCAGGAGGTATTCTTGACTCTTTTCTTCCTCAGCAAGAAAATCCCGCTTCACTTCTCTTTCAAAATGCATCCACAGTCGGACAACTCTTCCCACTCCCATCTCTACTGCCACCATCTGAACTACCCTGACCTGCTAATTACACTTACCTCCCCCTTCAGTCTACTTTTATCACAGCAGCCTGGGAGCTCCGTTAAAACATCGATGAGATCACCTCACCACGGTGCTCACACCTCTAACGCTTCACATCTTGCTCAAAGCAAATGACCCAAGTCCTCACCGTGTCCTATAAAATCCCACGACTGGCCCTCAGTTCCCTTTCTGACTACACCGCCTTCAATGCACCCCTGCCGACCCCTGTGCACTCTGCTGCGGCCACACTGCTTCCCTTGCTTCCTCAAACAAGCCCGTCATGATCCTGCCTGAGGACATTCACATTCACCATCCCCTCTCCCTGGAATGTTCTTTCCCTGTGTGGCTAGACAGTTGGCTCTTTTCAGTCCTTACTGAAAAGTCACGCCCCCGGGAAGGCCTTCAATAAATAGTTGTTAGAAGAATGAACGAACAAATGAACTAACGGGTGGCTTCCCCCTGAACCCTCACTAGGGGGCTGGGACTCCAGTTTGCCTTCTCATTAGTTCTTTCCCTGGGGCTGGATCCTGAACCCTCTGCCCACCACGTCTCACACCTCCAGGGGGTGCTGTTCACCGTGTGGTCCATGACGGCAGGGGTCTGACTCTAAAGGCCAATCTGCTAGCTGGCACTGCCCATGAGAACAGGCACCACGTATCTTGTGTGTCAAAATACGCATACTTGGCTCCTCATATAGAGCAGGGCATATAGAAGGGGTGGCTCAGCATATACCTACTGAATGAATGAGTGAACCAAAAACCCTGGCTCACCTTTCACACTGAACAAGAATCCTGTTCTCTTGGACCCCGAGACCCCTGCCTTGGGACTGCCTCTTTAGCCAGGTGACTCTCATCTCCCCATCTCACAGTCCAAGCATCTCGCCCCCGTTTTGCTCCCTCTCTTTCCTTGCTGACCTTCCAGTACCTCTTGTGCTGTTCAGACACAGACGGTGGTTTCAGAGGAGAAATGGGCTATTTAGTTTAGAAAATATGGATCCCCTGTAAATAGTGGGTACACACAGATTCCCCATGTAGCGTCACTGGGCATGTCCCCACAGTCCCTTTCCCCTTCAACCCAGTACAGATGTCCCATAATGCCTCCTCACGAGTGAGGTACAAAATGGCTCCTTAGGGACTCAAAACTAAGTGTGGAAGCTCTATCTGAGTTATTGAAAAGCCTCCATTTGGCTTCACCATTCCTGGAAATAAGCTAAAATTGCCACATGTTTTGTCCACGCCTCTGAATGATAGCTGGACACACCACGGTACTCCCTTCTCATCAAAACACATAAAGGCAGCATGGGAATCTCAAGCACGTAATGACGCCAAGCCATAGCCATAACACGTTCTGGAATTAGTTCTTTTGAAGCACCATGCCAAATGATTATTAATAAATGACAAAAACACTGAGGGTGGAAAAGCTTCAGCTGAGTGCATACCAGTCTTGCACATGTTAACCAAGGTACCTGAGGTTCAAGTGGAAGCCAATTCAAGTTACTCATTGTTGAATAACTACTGCGTGCTGACACTTGGCTGCATTGAGGTCTGTAAGACTTGTAGGAGGCTCCACTCGAGAGGTCTGTAATCTAAATGGGGAAAGGAAAAAAAAAAAAATCCATGCCCTTTCATTCAAGAGTTTTTTTAAAAAATGCAGCAGCATACCGGGGAAGTCTGAGGCAAAATAGCTGCTTCTAACAATAGAGAGGCAGAGAAAGAAGGGAGAGAGGAGTGTTCGGGAAGATTTCTTGAAGGAGACAGAAAACTAGAAATTTGCAAAGAGGGGGCGCCTGGGTGGCTCAGTCAGTTAAGCGTCGGACTTCGGCTCGGTCATGATCCCCCGGTTTGTAAGTTCGAGCCCCGCATGGGGCTCACCACTGCCAGTGCAGAGCCCGCGTTCAATCTTCTGTTCCCCACTCTCTCTGACAACTCCCCCTCCCGCTTGTGCTCTCTCTCTCTCTCTCTCAAAAATAAATAAAACATTAAAAAAAAAAAAAGAAATTCGCAAAGAGAAAAAATGCAAGCAACACATCCCGCACAGAAAAGGAGAAACCTGAGTAGGTCCCACAAGCAAAAGGCTCAGGGGGAAATGTCTTCAAGTAGCATGAGACTGGGGACCAGTGCTGGCCTTCCCACTCACCACAAATGGCAACGAAGAGCCATCTGGTGAGCTCCATTTGGGGAGGAGGAAGGCAGGAGACATACCTCAGTGACTGCCCCCTAGAGTAAGAGTAGATGTGGAGCCGACAGAGTGCAGCTTCAGAGGTCATATTTTCATAATGGCCGCGGTGTCAGGTTTGGATGAGGAAGTGAAGCTAAAAACTCCTCAAGGCAGTGTAGGACCATCCTTGCCATTATTTGAGGCGTCACACAGAAAAAGAAGGGGAGGAAACTCTTGAGTGCTATGTGTTCACAAATGGACAGGTGTGGATTTGGCTGGATGTTGGCATTTTACTGGGCTGGGGCTTTATCTGACATGGGTTCCACATTGGCCGTTGGTAGCCCTGGGCTAGGAGGAATGCCCCAGGGAAGCCAGCAGCCATAAGGCTACCAACCTCACGGCACCCATGGGAGCATTAAGGGATCAGATTAAGGGAGCATAAAGGATCAGAGATGGGAAAGGCCTGCTGGGTAACATGTAAGTCTCCCTCCTGCTGGGGTCCTGTAGGTAAATGCTTAGTTGGATTTGAACTGATCCAGACAGTGGAAGAAGTTCTCATCACCTTCTTATAGCTTGATGTTTTTAGACTCTGCATAATTCAAAAACTTTCCTTGCCATAAGAAAGAAAGAAAGCAAAAAGAAACTTGAAAAGGAATATTTACAGAGAAACAGAAACAAGCTATTCCTAGAGCCAGGTAGTTGTCCAATTCCTAAAGCCCAAATAAAGTCCTAATAGAGAGTTTAGTTAAAATACTAAAAATAAAGTGCCTATATTTAATTTATTTTAAAAGTTTCTAAAGTCACCAACAAATTTAAAAATATACCTGGGGGCCTGAATTATCTCACAGGAACTAGGACTGCTTAAAAATGCACCCAGTCCTCCGGGTGTCCTCCTCAAGCCACAGTCTGTGAGTCTGTCAACAAATTTCTATTCAGTGCTATCATGTAGAAGGCACTGAGGATGGGGCACTCTCAGAGTCAGATGAGAAAACCCTAGTGTTCCCACTTCTGTTCCCACACTGGAAAATGCTGAGCTCCAAAGGGCATGCTGTATAAAAACGTTGAAAAGGAAGACAAACCCTTTAAAAGGGTGACCTTGGGTGTGCCCTTCCCCATGGAGTTAAATGTCACTGCTCTGAGAACTTGTACTTTCTGATTTCCTGATTTTGCAGAATCCAAAGCTAGCATAACGAATTTAAACCTTCCAGTTTCCTTCCTTTCTCCATTTCCTTGAAAACAAAAACAAAAGCCACAGACTTAATATTTCTATTAAAATACAACTTAACAGAAAGTCACACGTTTTTACAGTTACCGTGGTTTAGGGAAAAAACACATTTCCCTCTCTCCTTTTTTTTTAAACTGCAAGATTACTTTCTCAAATTTCAGCGAGACATTAAATTCCGCCCCTGAATAACTTAGCCCATAAGCATATGCACCATTTTAGGCCATTTATGGCTTTAATTGTCCATATGGGTTTCTCAGTTATCTCTCTCATTTGTGACATGGTGACTGTCACCATCAGGAGGGAAATTCCCACATCAGTCCTTTGGGTTTTCCCATTCACACCTTCAGGGATGACAGCCTAAAGATTATAAGATCCTACATCTCCACTGCCTCCTAATGCTCCCACTCTCCCATTCGTTTGTATTCAAGAGGGGAGGAGGTGAAGGGACAGCATCCCCTCCATCCTGCCCATGAGGAAAGGCAGTCTCCCGGAGCTGTCCCAGGAAGCCGCGTGTGACTGCAGCACTTAAAATGATGTGTGGTACACGTAAAACACACATCAAAGACACCGTACGGAAAACGAACATGAATGACCTTAGTAATTATTTTTATATTGATTATATGTTGAAATGATAATATTGTAAATGAACTGGAATAATTTAGGGGATGGGTGTCTGGGTGGCTCAGTCAGTTGAGCGTCCCGCTCTTGATTTCGGCTCTGGCCATGACCTCCAGTTCGTGGGTTCGAGCCCTGAATCAAGCTCTTCTCTGACTGCAGTGCCTGCCTGGGATTCACTCTCTCTCTCTCTCTCTCTCTCTCTCTCTCTCTCTCTCTTTTTGTTCCTCCCTTTCTCAAAATAAACAAACTTAAAAAAGTTTTTTAAAATAAAAATGTAGTAGTTTCCTTTTAATTTTTTTTTTTTTTTAAGGAGGCTACTAGAAAATTTTAAATTACCTCTATGGCTCAAGTTATATTGTTATTGGATAGTGTTGCCCTAGAGGGATTGATGCAAAGTCATCCAGAGGGCCAGGGACGGACCTGGGCTAACCACTGCTCCCACTGCATTTGGGGTCACAGAGTTCCTGAGGAACTGGGAAGAGCTTTGCATAAAGAGAAAAACTGGTCTGCCCTGTGCCCGGAAAGGAGGGGCAGAATCTGCCTGTCCGGCTGTGTCCATGGCAGAGCAGGGCTCCAGCCCTCATGGCAGCAGGAGGAATGGGTACAAGGACCCGAGGGAGGGCCGGGGCCCCAGTGCCTGCCTGGATGGGAGCCTGCACCAGAGTGGCAAGGGGTCCTTGGCCTGCCTGCTGGGCCAGTAGAGCAGGGAGGTTGCACGCACCTCCAAATAGGCACTGCAAAGTCCTCCCGTTTAAAGTAGCCCCTGGGGCGCCTGGGTAGTGCAGTCGGTTGAGCGTCCGACTTCAGCCAGGTCACGATCTCGCGGTCCGTGAGTTCGAGCCCTGCGTCAGGCTCTGGGCTGATGGCTCAGAGCCTGGAGCCTGTTTCCGATTCTGTGTCTCCCTCTCTCTCTGCCCCTCCCCCGTTCATGCTCTGTCTCTCTCTGTCGCAAAAATAAATAAATGTTGAAAAAAAAAAATTTAAAGTAGCCCCTGGCCCACTAGCACAGCCCCTGGACTGTCTGCTTTTCTGCCCTGACCTCGGATCCTGGGACAGGGACTGGCACACAGAAGGCAATCTGTAAATGAGTGCTGGAATGAAGAGTGAACGAAGGAACCCAAGCGGTGGCCCCTGCAGTGCGTGGCGACCCCGGTTGCAGGACAGCGGCTGCACCTAACTTGCCGCCCTGGGAGCTGCCACAGTTACTTGTGTGTCAGAGGAAATGGAGGACCCAGGAGCACGCAGGGCCTGGTGAGGGCTGGGGTTCCACCTGGGGTCTGGCTTCACTGTCTCCTCCCTCCGTTGCTGCCATTTCTAGCCGGTTTGCTCTGGCCCTTCCCTAAGTATCTAGAAGACATACCCCAGCTAAGCCTCCTCGGCCCTCCTCCCACCGCAGGTGCTCTCTGCCTCTTCCTCCAAAACTCCTCCTGGGACACAAAGGGTGGTGTGCTGGCCTTTCCTTCCCACCGGTTTAGGGACTCTGTGAATGGGGCTCATGTCCCACTCCTGAGTCAAGGAGAGCCTCTCCTCATGTTGCCCCCAGGGGTCCAGTGCCTGTCCAGGGGGAAGAGGCACTCATCTGGAAGGCCACCCCCTTCCCCAGGCTTCCCGCATCACCTTCCTCTCATTCCACTTTCCTTCAGTCAGGTAGGCCCAGACTGTTTACACTTTTCGTCGCTTAGCATCACCCCTACTTTCATGAGTATGCCCTCTGCGTGTGAAAAATCTGGGAGCTTGTGCACCCCCCATGCCTCCTGATGGTGGCAGCCCCTCCCCCATCATGCTCAGAGTCCTGGAGGGCCCCCATGGAGGCCCCCTGATTGGTCAGCCCCTGCACACGGCACCCCTCCTTCCTCCCCATTATCCTTAGCTGCAGGCTGTCTCCCCCTGGACTGTTTACACAGCTGCAGAATGAAGGGACTTTCATTTCTCCCCGCCACCCCCGGCCCAGGGTTAATGCATGTGTATTTCCGGCTCCCTACAACTTGGGGCAATGGGAATGCTAACCCAACCCGATCTCGTAAATAGTCCATACGCTGATAATTGTACTTTCGGGGGATGGCAAAGAGCGTTAAACTGCTTTCAGCACACGGTCTTGTGGGTGCCTACACAAGGTGCACGCAGACTTTCTGCAGCCCAAGACAGAGCAGCTGTTCCACACCATGAAAGCCCCATCACGTAAGGAACTGAGAGGTGGCCATACTGCAGATTTCCAGGTGAACACAGTTCTAACCAGGAACTAGGGATGGGCATCCCATCCTTGATTTGGCTATGGTAGAGTCCAAGGCCTGACCAAGTATTGGCGGCAAGTTGCAGGAAATTTAAAAAAAAGAAAAATCTCCACTTGACAAACTATCCAATTCTAATAAATATCTGAGAACTGTAACTAAAGACCCTGAAAGTATTTTAGGCTTCTCCATCCTAAGACTTTACCTCAAAGAATGACCTCCTCAACCATACGTCAGGCAAGATGGGAGGAAGCAGACACAGAAAGCATTACTTTATTAGCCTACGGTAGTAATGGTGGTATCCCCAAGTAATGTGGATTATACAAGATCAGAGTCCTAATAAAAGAACTCACGACA